AGGGGCTGTTAATATCACCAACAGAATCGACATTACATAGCAGTGAATTTCCTGAATTTAAGGAATGTGTATATACAGTTAGACATGTGTCACTAGTAGATAGGAAGAAGAAGAATATTCTATTTGTATGTAAAGTGTATGTATTGAGATTTTGGTGTATAAATAGAGAAAGAAAGAAGAAGCTAATTGAGCTGAAAATTCTCAAAAGGCAGTAACGTTCAGCGCTAATTTTATCTTGGTATCAGAGCCCTAATGGCTAACACCAATTCTGGAAGACAAACTCCTCCAAGTGAGTCGAGCACTGCAACAACCTTTCAGTCTCCTGTGAATCAGACCTCTCCTTTTGGGTTAAACCTCATCCAGACTCCATCAATAAAGTTGGATAGAGATAATTTTTTGCTGTGGCAAAACATGGTTATGCCCATGATCAGAGGGCATAACCTTGAAGGATTTTTGCTGGGAACGAAGCCATGTCCACCAGAGTTTTTACAAACTCAGATTGCTACTAAAGAGGGAGAAGCCATAGAAATGGTTCAAAATCCTGATTACAGTAAGTGGTTTTCAACTGATCAACTATTAATGGGATGGTTGTATTCATCCATGACCCCTGAAATTGCAATGAGAGTAATGGGGTGCACTAGTTCATGTAAGCTGTGGAGTGCAGTCAAGGAAAGCTATTGGATAATGAATAGATCCAAAGTTATATTCCTCACTGGAGAGTTGCAAAGGACCAGGAAAGGATCAATGACCATGGATCAGTATCTTACCACCATCAAACAACTGGCTGACAACTTGCAGATTGCTGGAAAAAACATAGATCCAAGTGATTTGGTAACTCAAGTTCTATCTGGACTGGATGAAGAATACACACCTATTGTGGTGCAACTCAATAGCAAGGAGGATGTATCATGGCATGAGCTCTCCTCTGTTCTCATGACCTTTGAGAGCAAACTTGAATATCTCAATCAAATTAAGAATGACTTTGGCACAATAAATATCAACCAGACAAGTGTGCAGCTAACACAGAGGACAAGTTCTCCTGGTGGTAGAAGTTTTAGACCTATTAATAGTGGGAGATTTTCCAACTTCAGGGGAAGAACAAGAGGCAGGGGTAGAGGAGGTAGGATGAATGAAAGCCGAGGACCCTGCCAGATTTGTGGGATGAATAACCATTCGGCTAAATGGTGTTTTCAATAGATATGATGACAGGTATATGGGCAGCAGACCTGGGAACCAGAATATGCAGAACAATTCATCACCTGCTGCCTATGTTGCTTCACCAAGAACCGTTGAGGAGTCGGCATGGTTTGCAGACTTTGGAGCAAGCAACCATGTCACTGATGACAAAGGTAATCTAAATACCATGATGAAATACAGAGGTAAGGAAAAATTGCTTGTTGGTAATGGGAATTCTTTGCATATTGATAATGTTGGCAGAAGAGACCTTATTACATTGAATGATAAGACCCTTGCATTGAATAAATTACTTCATGTGCCTGCGATCAAGAAAAATTTGATTAGTGTCTCTCAACTAACGAATGACAACAATGTATTTATGGAGTTTTATCCTAACTATTGTGTTGTTAAGGACCTGCAAACGAAGGAGATCTTGCTGCAAGGGATGCTTAAAGATGGATTGTATCAACTGAAACTACCAAGTCCCAAGCCTAAAGTCGCCACTACAGAGTCAAGCTACCGAAATAACTCCAACCTTGCAGTCTTCTCAGCAAGCTCAAGGTGTAATGAGTCAATCAAGAGTGTCAAGTTACCTAAGTCTGAGTTAGATACCTGGCATAGAAAGCTAGGTCATCCTTCAAGTTCTGTTTTGAGTGAAGTCCTTAAGTCTTGTAATAAAGGTGTCAAAGTTAATGAAAGTCCAGACTTTTGTGAAGCCTGTCAATTTGGTAAATCTCATGCTTTGCCCTTTAACACATCTTCAACTCATGCATCAAACCCACTAGACCTCATACATACTGATGTCTGGGGACCAGCGCCAAGGGTTTCTACCCCAGGGTTTAGGTACTATATCCTATTTGTGGATGATTATAGCAGGTTCACATGGTTATATCCAATGAAACACAAATCCGAAGCCTTAAGTATCTTCATTCAATTCAAGAAGTTAGTAGAAAATAACCTTGAAAGAAAAATCAAAACATTACAATCAGACTGGGGAGGTGAATTTAGGACCTTTGATAAAATTGCCTCAGAATCAGGAATTAAACTTAGGTATTCTTGTCCTTATACCTCTACACAAAATGGTAGGGCAGAGAGGAAACACAGACACATCACCGAAACCGGTTTAACACTTTTGGCCCAAGCACAAATGCCATTGCACTACTGGCTAGAAGCTTTTCAAACAGCCACCTATCTAATAAATAGACTACCTACTCCTGTACTTCAATCCAAATCACCCTTTCAAATTCTATATAGAAGAAACTTTGATCACAAGACATTAAAAACATTTGGCTGTGCTTGTTACCCATGTCTAAGACCATACCAAAACCATAAGTTTAATTTTCACTCTCAAAAATGTGTTTTCCTCGGCTATAGTAATTCACATAAAGGATACAAGTGCCTAAACTCTACTGGTAGAATGTATATCTCAAGGCATGTGGTGTTCAATGAAGAAGAATTTCCCTTCAAGTCTAATTTTCTAAACACGCGTAGTCAGCCAAAATTCTCAAAAATTGTCACCAACCCTCTTCCTTTTGATACTGAATTAAGCCATCAGACATCACCTCAAAATGTAGTTGATACAACCCATCCTGATGCAACACTTGCTGCAGGCTCCTACAAGAGTGTGGAATATGAAACAGAGAATGAGTTGAATGAAAATGAAGGAAGTGGTGCTGAAATGAACCAAGTGGTGCCTGATGAGTTTGATCAGGATGATCAGCAAACTGAAAATGGTGAAATTGATGCTAATATTGATGATCATAGTATAACACAAACTGTTGGACATCATATGACCACCAGAAGTAAATCAGGAATCTTCAAACCAAAAGTGTATACTAATCAAATTAAGGATGAATTGCTTGAAGTTGAGCCACAAAGTACAAATGAAGCATTGTTAAGTGATAAATGGAGAAGAGCCATGCAAGAAGAATATGATGCTTTGATGAAGAATAGAACATGGAAATTGGTGCCTCCAAAATCTGGAATGAAAATAATTGGAAACAAATGGGTCTATAAGTTGAAATGTGACTCTGAAGGCAAGATAAGGAGGTATAAAGCAAGACTTGTTGCAAAAGGTTTTCTACAAACACCTGGAGTTGATTTTAGTGAAACTTTTAGTCCAGTTGTTAAGGCATCAACGCTGAAAATTATATTGACTCTTGCTGTGACAAGAGATTGGGAGATCAGACAGGTTGATGTAAATAATGCTTTCTTGAATGGTAAGTTGGAAGAAACTGTGTACATGAATCAGCCACAAGGTTTTGAAGATCAAAGAAATCCTGATTTTGTATGTAAACTGGAAAAGACACTTTATGGACTTCGACAAGCACCAAGAGCTTGGCATGACAAGTTAAAGGAAACTCTACTGGAATGGAACTTCAAACAATCCAAGGCAGATAACTCGTTGTTTTTCTCAATGGATGGAAAAAATGTAGTGTTTGCATTGGTTTATGTGGATGATATAGTAGTAACAGGAAACAATGGCCAACACTTGCAGATATTTATTGATAAATTGAATGCCTGTTTTGCTCTTAAAGATATGGGAAACCTCAGTCAGTTCTTAGGTATTGAAGTTTACAGAGACACAACTGGGCTGTATCTAACTCAAACAAAATATATAATTGATCTGCTGAAGAAATTTGGTTATGAAAACCTGAATTCAGCCTTAACACCTATGGCAGCAGGTAAGTTAATATCTAAGGATGCAGGGCAAACTATGAGTGATCCTACTCTTTATAGGAGTGCAGTTGGCGGTCTTTAGTATCTTGCACACACAAGACCTGATATTGCCTATTCGGTAAATAAAATGAGTCAATTCCTTCAAACTCCTACAGATGTTCATTGGAAGGCTCTCAAGAGAATTTCAGATACCTAAAGGGTACACTAAAACATGGTTTGGTTATTCGAAGGAGTGACAGCTTAGACATTACAACATTTGCAGATTCAGATTGGGCGTCATGCCCAGATGATAGAAGATCCACAGCTGGTTATTGTGTTTACCTTGGTGATAGTTTGGTGTCTTGGTGTTCTAAGAAACAACATGTTGTTGCAAGATCAAGCACAGAGGCCGAATATAGAGCACTGGCTCACACTGCTTCAGAAATAGCTTGGATTCAATCCCTAATGAATGAGTTAAGTATACCACACAATGGAATACCTAAAATCTGGTGTGATAATTTGAGTGCAAGTGCACTGGCATCAAATCCAGTGTATCATGCTCGTACCAAACATATAGAACTGGATGTCCATTTTGTGAGAGACAAAGTTTTGAAGAAAGAACTGGAAGTGCATTTTGTTCCCTCCTCAGATCAAACAGCTGACATACTGACTAAACCTCTTTCTCACTCAAGATTCATATTCCTCAGAGACAAGCTTGGAGTAGTAGAGACACACTCCACCTTGAGGGGGGGTGTTAGGATTAAGTAACAAAATTGAATCCTGCAGGGGCTGTTAATATCACCAACAGAATCGACATTACATAGCAGTGAATTTCCTGAATTTAAGGGATGTGTATATACAGTTAGACATGTGTCACTAGTAGATAGGAAGAAGAAGAATATTCTATTTGTATGTAAAGTGTATGTATTGAGATTTTGGTGTATAAATAGAGAAAGAAAGAAGAAGCTAATTGAGCTGAAAATTCTCAAAAGGCAGTACCGTTCAGCACTAATTTTATCTTGCATCACAAATTAAGGACCTAAATTCACATATTTAAATATGTTGGGGGAAATATAACCAAACCACCTGAAAGATTAGGGACCTGACTTTTAAATATTGATTTCACTAACGATTGAGCTTAGCCAAATGCGTTTTACAGGAAATTCCAAACAAGTTAAAAAGTGTTGAAGATAAGGAAGCTGAGAGGGAGAAACAAAGAGATGGCATTTCAACTGAACTTGCTTCAGACATCAAGCTTAAACTATGCTAAACAACCTCAGCCATCTTCTTCCATTACCGTCCCTACTCGTTTATCATCTTCAAGAGTGAATGCAATTTCTGGGAGATCGACCCAAGAGTTGTTACAATCCGGTACAGTCCGCCCCATATTACCAAAAGATGCAGCCTTAGCCATGGAGTCTGAGGGCTACTTATTGCTTGACATTAGACCCCAGTGGGAGACGGAGAAGGCACGCGTTTCAGGGTCTCTGCACGTGCCACTTTTCGTGGAGGATAAGGATAATAGTCCTTTAACGTTGTTGAAGAAATGGGTGCATTTTGGGTACATTGGAGCATGGACTGGGCAGTACTTTACCATGATAAATGATGATTTTGTTAAAGAAGTGGAGAAAGAGGTTCCTGATAAGGAGTCTAAGCTACTTGCAGCCTGCGGTGAAGGACTCAGGTAATTATTGGCTCTTCCAAGCTCTCGTGCAACACTTAGCTCCTCAATCTTCCTATCCAATCTCGAGAATTTGGGAAAATAGTAAACAAACATTGTATCGTTCATTGTTGGGTGTTTTGAGACATAGTGACGAGCTTAGATGCAAGATTAGAGAGACAAGCCTCAATTATTTATCGAGCATCGGAGAGTGAAGTGCTTGTTATTGAGCACCCTTAGCACTTAGCACACTTGCATTGTACATCTGTCAAGATTGTCAATCTTAATCATTGTAATAGAGATCAGACAATCTAAATTGGCTCGTTTGCAACTCTTTTGTAATGCAGCTTGGAGTTTCACGATTCAAGAAAAAAGCTAAAAGTTACTATTAAGCACAGTCAAACATGTTGTACCCATTGCTCGAAATATGAGCTTTTACAATCTTACCATCTGCAATAGTACTTTAAATTAGTTAATTTTGTGGTTTTATGCGTGCAGGTCTATGATGGCTTTCACTAAATTACACCAAGGAGGATACAAGAACTTGGGATGGTTGGCTGGAGGCTTTAACCGCGCTTCTGATGGTGATTTTCCGAACGTTGAAGGGACTGAAAAGTTGCAATATGCTACAATAGGAGGTGCGTCATACTACTTCCTTCAGTTGCTTATTTTGTTACAAGTTGTTGGGAAAAATAATTGATCACTCTGTTGATCAGACAATCCGGTCGAGAAGTTGTGGGTGAAATATGGGATTACACGAATATCTGAGTTTTCATGGATCAGTTGGATGGTTTGCAAGTATTGTTATCACCATGTAAAAATCCCATTTGAAATAGGATTGTTTGTTCCTTAGTAATTCAGTGTTTTACTTTTCAATGATGAGTGACGAAAAAGGATTCATTAACAAACGCTATTTATTGAGAATGAGGCGTAGTTGTTCTCTTGATGTTGTTGTATGCAATTGGTTATATCTGACAGGAGAAATTTGAAGGTCCCAACTAGGAAGAAGTCCCATAAGATTTGTTTAGTAAGGTAATGTGAAATAATTCTTACCAAGATTTTCAATTGATGTGCAAATCAACAATCCAACACCAACAAATTGCTCAACGCACAAATCACCCTATTGGTTGCCCAAGTATAAATATAAACCCACAAAGGATTCAATCTCACAAAGAGGAGAGGAAAGAAAGCACAGTTAACTCACGTCACTGAGAAGCAATGAGAAGAAACAGCTGCTAGTTTTCTCTCTTTTTGCCACACGCAGTTTCAACACATAAGGGATGTATATATAACACTAGGGCTGCCAAGTGATGGGCTAATACATATACAAGGGCCATCCATCTAGAGGTTGGGCAGTGAGTAACCATTACTTAAAATGTTGCTTCAAATGACCTACTTAATTTTTCAAGTTGAGCTACAGAAAGTGGTGTTGATTTCATATTTCAATCATTTGCCGAAGCCTATGAATAAATTTAAACAGTTAAACATCATCACCCCAAGATATTTTAGGTATCAACCGAAAACCCAACTGGTAAATTTATGTTTGATATATGGTATTGTAATTTATGTTTGATATATGGTATTGTTCTGTCTTACTGAATACTGATAATACATGATAGGTGTATTTTATACATTTATTTGGACAAAAAAATATAGACATTTAATAGTTCTTTTGAAAATTATAGCCAGATTTATTTTATATTTCGTTTATTAGGTGAAACTCGATGAATGGAAGTAGAATTGAAAGAAAGAAGCAAAAAAATTGGCAAAAAGAGGCAAGATCCAAAGTTTGCAGATGAAACTGTAAATACTTAAAAGTTATGTCGAACCTTACGATGAAAATTTGAGAATGCTAGGGGCCAACTAGATGCAATTAGAAGTCAAAATGAGTGAAATATCATCAAAATATTTTCACAAATCAATTTTCAAACACACAAAGATGTTTCAGATTTTCAGCCGGAGATTGAAACCCATTTTTGGCTTAGTAAACGTTCGAAATTGGAAAATAGCTACTTCTAGTAAAGTTGTAGCTCTTTCAATTATTTTTACAAACCAATTTGAAATACCTCAATCGAATATTAGAAGTGAAAGTTAGGATAAAAATACTAAACGAAGTGTAGGCAGACTTTCACCAGTAAGCAGCACACCAACATGGCGCCGAGGTACCACCAATACAGAGTTGAGGAGCCGCCAAGGTGTATCTAGGGCTCTTTTTTACTTTTTTGAAGCCCATAAAAATAATACATTCGACACAAACATAGGGAGGATTATAAATACAACTTTTTGACAATTTTGATGGAGTTCCACACAATTTGGGGGAGAAAAGACAAATAATCATCAAAATAAAATAGCAAAATCCAGTGATTGAAGACTTTTGAGGTTGAAGAAGATTTTTGGTGCAAGATCCAATTTTGTCTATGATCAAGATTTCAAAACTTGGTTATAAACTCTATACTTTTGCTTTTCTTTCATTACTATGAGTAGCTAAATTCATAGTAAGGGAGAACAATGTAATCTATGTGCGACCCTTTCTTTCTTTTATTCAAAATTCAAGTTCTTTAAATGCATGTGTTGATTTTAATTATATACTTAATGCTTTGAATTTTTTGGTTAATTATTCAATGATTTTATGAATCTATTACGAATCAAGATGTGAGTTATAAATTTAGACAACGTATTAAAATCCGAAAATTTTGTATAACATGTAGAGATACCCATACTAATTATTGCAGTCGTTAGGTAAATTCTTAGAACTAATATTTCCTTTAACTAATATTGATTCGCATGAAGATATGAAATTAAATTAGTTAAATAAACTCAATGAAAACTCGAGAATCGTAAATTGAATATACACTTTAGAAAAAATCGACCAAACACTACAATTGTAATAAATTTTGATTGACGTATTAAAAGGAATCAATATGTAATATTGTAAGTCTTAGCATCCATATTCATAATTTTAAAACCCAAATTTGATAATTTGTGTGCATTAGATAATTTATTTTAGTTAGAATAATTTAGACACGAACCACAAAACTTATTATTTGTTTTCAATCAAATTAAAGTTAAGAATAATTGAACCAACTGTTAGATAGTAGTCATTGTGGAAATAATATCCGGACTCATGGGTCCAATTTATTGCTTGTTACAATCCGTACACATCACACAAACTACTTTTTACATAAGTATGAATACAAACATCGATCATAAATCATAGGACTAGATGAAAAAACTTTATACGAAGTTGAAGCGCATGAGTAATTTGACAGATTTGTACTTGTCTCCCTTGTGATTATAAAGAGGCATGGATCGAATACCTGTTTTCAACTCTGAAACTGGAATACAAGTTTGTCCCCCAAAATCGTCCTTATCTGACACATCAAATTCATGAACTTCGACTCGAAGTAATGCCAACTCTGGAACTGTCAATGGGAACTCAAACTCTTCGTTCCATGTCGGGAACCAATTGTCCTCAATGACCTTGGTTTTCTTAACTAATGTATCAGCAAGAACTCCAGCAATCCCAACCTGTAACATGACATAGATATGCATGTTTTCATGTTGGAATTTAGAGCTTATCATACTATTCATTTATCCTTGACCGAGAATTTTTCTTGTTACAGAGATATATTGGACACTTATCTCTACATTAGGTCGCACCCATTTCCTATCCTATACAAAGGAATGCGAGGGGCCGTTTTTCTATAATATAAGACACAGATATGAAAAATAGAAAAATAATAATAATAATAATAATAAATAAATAAATAAGTTGTTATCTACTGAGTGTGGTTTAATTTCTTTACCGTTGATAGACATAGCTCTCACATTAATGATGACGCTTTCTATTTTTCATTTTTTTCATTATAAACTAATCCTTAGATTCAACTATAGGTAAAATCGTTGTGAAAATGAATGTCAAAAAGGTCGTGAAATGTTTACATCTACTGTGATGGTTAAAATTACTTGTACATTTGCACACTCTTTGGGAATAAGGCAGGGACGAGAGAGTGCAATGGATTACCTTGACGTAGAAGTCTGGCGGGGAATATAGATCAAAGTGTGTGCGCTTAAAATCCAAAATCCAACCTTCTCCCATGTACACCTTCACCTGAATACAGACTCACATAAATGAATGAGAAAGATTTGTCGGAAAAGAAGCTGAAAATGTCAAAAAAATGAAATTTTTGAGTTATCAATTACCTTCAAGATTTTCTTCACAGGTAATCCTTTCTTTTTAGGATCGAATACCTCGTTATCCGGGCCTACCTTAAGTAACAAATCTGGTTTTTTCACATAACCACACCCACCATTTGCTCTGAACATCCCTTGCATCAACCATAGAGACTTGTCATGTCCCTGGCATAGACACACTTGTAAGATGCAATTTTTAAAGGAGATTCATGGCTCTAGACAAAATTTGAGGAGATTTGGAGTTTTTGAGTTTAGTACTAAAAGTATGTTAAGGTATGTAATAATAAGAAGAAAAAAAGTTGAAGGAACCTGCATATTAAACGCGACCATCTGAGCTCCGTAGATCCACCCGATTAGGGGGTTGAAATTTGATGAATCAATCCTTGAAGCTTTTGGGTATACTCTCATCAAGTTTCTCTGTGTAAATCTTTAAACAGGAAATATTTCCAGTTCAAAAAATGAAAATAAGCTGCTCATTTCTATCTGAAAAGCATTCTTCAATTAACGATGAAGATATTATCCAAATTTATGGCATGAATATGAGGTAAATTTCTTGATGTAGAACGGAAAACTCCAATCACCATGTACTTGTCGAACAACTAAAAAGGTTACTCGATCAGAAATATTGATCATATGTAAAGGAATAAGCCCCTTGTACAGGGGCTGAAATCGCAGCCCCCTGATTGGCAATTTTTTTCCCCTTTTTTTTTCAGCTGCCAATGAAATTTCAATTATGCTGCATATACGTAATAGTATACATACATATGATGTGGTTAGATATGATTGAACCAAAATTTCTTCAACCAAATAAAAATAATTCTCCACTCCCTTTTAACACCTCGTCTGTATGTAAATCATTATGTAATTCCTTGTATACAGATAATATTATTAATGAAAATCTGTCAAGTATGTATTTGTACAAAACCCCGGCACTCTTCCTGGCAATGTAGCATGGTTCTTTGTAAAAGTATATGATATTATTATACGACCTAATAGACAATTAAGTACTATGTACTGAATGCCTGAAACAACAATAATAAGTTAGCTATTAGCTGAGATTCAAAGAAAAGCTCATATTCACCTGACAATATCAGTTCCATGAGTTTTGACAGCATTTTCGAGCTTTTCTTCATTCAAGCTAACACGATGAGCCTTTTGAGAATCGACTCTCAGCCATGCTTTAATTCCGCCTTTCATTTTCTCTGCCCGGATGGCAATTAATTGCTTATATTCAGGTGCTGCATTATGCTGATTAGGATTCTCATCCAGTTGGTCTTCCTCATCTTGATACTCTCCATGCTCCAAGTCATTCTGCCATCATTTTGAAACTTAGATGTACAGAAAATTGTAAAAAAAGTCTCAAAGAAAAGGAGGAGGAAAAGAGATGGGAAAATTTATATTTCTCTGTGTCTTTGAGTAACCTAATATGACGATTGTTATTGTTTTGTGAGTCTAGGTTTCAGTCTCGGCTTTAGTTCGAGAGATGTGTGAGCTTCAGCTTTTGCTCGAGAGGTTATTTTGTGTATTCCATTATTCATTGCCTGTTTGATTTGAATTAAAATCTGATTTTAATTTAAGTCAAAGTCAAACAATCAATATTAACTATATTTTTCATGGGTCTCACAACTTTTCAACCACACATTTCAAAAACTTGTATCACAATATACTAAAAAAATCTAATTTTAATTCCACCAAATACCCTCTAGACCCTGAGCGACTTTTGTCCCATTTTTAGCAAATTGTTTACCATTGGCAAGTGCGCATGAGTCCCATTGCTGTATTGACTACCTTATAAAAATTTTACCAGAAGTGTCTCTCTCAAGAATAATGAATTAGATGTTAGACAGGCACATAGGCCATTCTACTTGGTCCAGTCAATAGTTGTAACTAACATGAACTGACATACACTGTATAATGGTAAAAAATTTGCTAAAAATTGGATAAAAAGCGCTCCCAGACAGAGGCGTAGGATTGGCTATGAATCCTTTCCCGCCACTCCATCGACTGGTTGACTTTACGTTAATGATGTATGAAAATAGACATTCTAAAGAAAAATTAGTGCAGAGCTATTTTTACAAGTGAAAATTACCTCAGCATTGATTTTCAATCTATCAATATAATCGGAGACTTTATCCTTTCCCCATGCTGCTTCCTCTGATGATTTCTTCACTGTCGAAATGCCATTTTCTTCGTCTTTTCCACTCTTCGTTTCAAGATACTCTTTGGGTGGTTTGGTCGAGAGGATAACCCGTCTCTTCAATGATTCTGGCGATGGGAACTGTGACAAGCATTCTGATGTAGTCGATACAAGTACGTCTCCAAATGTTTGAGTAACCATCTAAAAATTAGTGACATATATATAAGCTTCTTCATGAAAGTATTTAAATTTTTGAAACAAGAAATTTTTGGGAAATGTGAACTTACCTCTGCTACTTTAGCTTGAAGATTTGGAGTAAGATGATCTTCAAGTGTTAAAATTAAGGGATATTCAGAAGCTACAAAAGCATGGTCTCTAATTGATCCCAAACATTTGATGAGCGCAACTGGATTTGTTAGGGTCCTGCCTATGAAGAACTATTTAGTGAAACGTATTCTAATAAAAACTCCAAATAATTTAAAAATAAAATAAAATATATATATATATATATACACACACACACACACACAATTAACCCTACACAAGAGAGCAGGTAAGTTTATTTATTGATGTCATAGTTGTGTATCCAAATAC